AGATGCACAAAAGAAAACCTTGAAGATATTCAGGAATTAAAAAGCCAAACTGACATTTAAAGTTGGTCTGTGTTAATTTTAATTGCTCAGAGCTCCTGCTGAAGCCCAAGTGAGTTTTTCTATTAGGAAGTGTGGACTCTCTTTGGAAGCATTCTGCATACCATTTCAGAAAAGAACACTTTATTCGTGCACAGATTGTAATATAGAAAGTGTAATATTCTTTTAGAAGCATAGATTATTGGAGTTGGAAGACACCCCAGAGAATACGCAGGCACACCTTCTTATTTCACAAATGAAAGCATTAAAGGAAAATATCATAATTTGGGTCTCCGCTCAGTTATCAAAGTTTGGAAAATTGAAAACTAATTGGCTTGGAAATGATGTGGAAGAAGCGGGCAGAGTCACCAGTCCTTTCTGCAAATAAATGCGGGGATAGGTTATAACACCCCGGGCAACCTCTGTTCACTGGGCTCAACAGTGCTAACCAATGCCTTCTAATACAAGAGAGAGAGGATAACATCTTGTCGAGGAAACAGTACAAGAGCCGGCTCCTGCCCCTTGAATGTGGATAGAACTGTGTTCAGTATTCATAAAGATGGGTGCATAGAGCAGCACAACTCAGAATAGGTACATTATGAAAATGGCCAATAGGCCCATCAACTGATGAATAGATGAAGAAAATGTGGTGTATGTACACAGTACAGTACTACTCAGCCCTAAGGAAGGATACATGTGAATCATTTGTAGGAAAATGGATACAGCTTGAGACCATAATGCTAAGTATAATAAATCAGACACAGAAGGTTAAATATCACATGGCTTCTCTTATGTGAGAGGCCCAAACTATAAGCAATTTAAAGGGCAAAATTAAAGACAACAGGAAATGAGGCAGATTATGTGGAGATGGTGAGGGGATCTAAGGATCGGGGGAGATGGGCGGCAAAGGGGGAGGGGAAGTAAAAATGATGACCAAGATGCATACATACCAAGTCCCCAAGTTGCGCGGGATTATTCTAGATTACACACATATACTAATATAAGCAAGACATTTTTAAAAAAGAAAACAGCTATAGATACAATGCAACAAAACCAGGATCGCTGTGTTCCAGTAAATGAGTATTTGCAAAAACAGTGGTTGGCTAGATGTAGTCTGAAAGTTGTAGTTTGCTGATCCCTGCATAAAGCTAATATAACTCCTCTGTTTTTCTGGCTTTTTAAAAGTTCTTCCTCCCTTCTTCCCTTCCTCCCTTCCTCCCTTCCTTCCTTCCTTCCTTCCTTCCTTCCTTCCTTCCTTCCTTCCTTCCTTCCCTCCTTCCTTCTTGCTTTTATTCTTGCTTTCTTTTTGTCCCTAGTATCTATTACAGTGCCTGAACTAAGGAGAGAAAAGCATAAAACGCCATTCCCAGAGCTCTATCTTGTCAGCTTCTCACAACGACAGCACACGGCGCAAGTAGCCAAAGTGAAGCAGGAAGAGCTAAAGCTCATCAATTCTGCCTTTTAGGCAAATATTAATATTTACCTTGCTTATAATTCCTGGTAGAACTGCAAACCAAGAAATGGAGGGAGGGGATGTAAAAAGAATCAAGATGTTCCTGTACCAACTCCTCAGGAGGAATGTAATCATTCTGTGCTGTGAACATGTACTAATAAAATTTTTTTAAAAGATTCTGTCTTCTGCAAATAGGAAAAAAACCTCCCATAAGTGCTATTTGTGGTGCAAAGACTCACTGCTCAACAGTGAAACTGCTTTCCCATGTCAAGACGAATTTTCCAGCTGTCCCTGATTCCCGGACCAGGGCCATGGGTTGGTGAGTGTCTCGAGGTTAATGAGGTGCAAGCAACTGACCAGAGGTCAGTGTCTGTAAGAGGCAGATGTCCAATTAGCAAAGCCAAATGGCAGGAATGTGCAATGATTGGTGGCACCAACTAACTCTGCCTCAATTCACCAGCATAAAAAAGACGTAGCCCGCTGCAAACAAGAGGACAGGAGCCACGGCTCCCTTGCTTGTCACCACAGACAGGTGACTGCTCTGAGAACTCCCTAATGTACATCCCAGTGAGTGGTCAACTCCATCAAAGGAATCCATTTTAATTAGGAAATATTCTGAGGAAAGCCACAGAAATATTTTTTTTGCCAGTAACCCCCATGTATTGCTGATTTAAAATAAAACTACTGCCATCCTGTCCACCCATGCCAGTCTGAGGCAGATCTTGTGTCTCTTCACTCATTTTTCTTTGCCTTACTCCAAACTGTATCTTAGGTGATGAGAAGAAAGACCCCGTATAAAAATGACTGGCTGGAAATCCATAGCCAGAGCAGTAAGAATAGCAAAATAAATGAGAGATTTGAGTAATAAAAAGAAAGAGACAATATCTGGTGACCGGAGGCTCATCTATACATGAATATCAGATCACCTGAAAAGGTAAGGCTTCACAAAATCATGTGGCTCTGCCATTTTTCTGTAGAAAGCGAATTTCCCAGAATAGAAGTCACAGCTGAGGCTGAGTCTAGCTGGTGAAGAGGACTAGATCATCTGGCCTTGACAGTCTACTGCCTGTCTTGGGCCCCTTCCCTTGAGATACAGTTTCCTCATCTGCCACCACACCTTGGGCAAGGAACTGCGTTCTGCAGGGTTTGCAGTGGGGAAACTGCTCAAGAGATTGCAGGCATGTGGCATTTCTCAGGAAGCTTTTAAACAATGGGACAGGAACTAAGATGTGGGGTCCTGCGCAGGAAGAAAGGAGAGACAATATCCCAGAACATAGGGGATCCCAGAACATAGGGGATCCCAGGCACCAGTGTGTTGCTGTTTTCAGATCTTGATAGCCACAGACACAGCTGTGAGGCCAAGCACCCCAATTATCCTCAGAAACATGAGAGGCCTGATCTAAGGAGGACAAACCCAAGTCATTAGAGGAAGGACTGTGAGCATCTGATAGATATCAAAGTGACAATCCCAGAGGATGAATAGGGCACAACCCCAGCCAGCATAGTGAGATCCTGTAGACACACCTTCCGTGCTGCCGCCAACCCCAGCTATTAGTCCTTGGAGGTCTGGGAGAGTTGGGCTGGATTTGACTCACTCTTGACTCCAGCTCTGTGGTCCCAGGCAAGTTATGACTTCAATCTGGGGTGATCAACTAGGGTCTACTGAGGGAAGAGTCTCAAGACTAGCAAGATGTCAAGGTGGGAAATCTTAGGAGGAAGGACAGAACCACCTGCCCAGAAGCACCATGAACTCCTGTCCCCCAACCCCTATTGGATCCTGTCCCCCTGTGATCTAGGAAATCCAGGCAGAATTGTCAGGTTGAGAGATCCTTATTTCTGCCTAGGAAGTCTCAAGGAGAGAGAGTCTCTGTCTAAAGAGGGTGGCCTCCCAGTTGGGTATAAAGTGGAGCCTCACTAGGTGATAGGAGTCAAGGTAGGTATCCTGAGTGATATGAGAGAACCACCACCAAAAGATAGAGTTGCATGTTCCCAACACATTGGTTTTAGTCCTACCAGGTGGAGAAAAGTACTCCTTATTTCTGCCTGGAGGTGTAAGGAGGGGAGAGACTATCAAAGACTTCAACTGAAGAAGACCTAGACTCCAATCAGAGCCAGTGAGGATCCTGAGGATGAATGAGAGGGTCTCTCTCCCACAAGAACAAGTCAACCAGAGACCTACCCACCATCATCACGACTAGAAGTCCCAGGCAAGGGTAGTCAGATGTAGTGTCCCCTGAATTCCCCATCTAAGGAGGCACAGAGGGCTGATGTTGGTGGTCTGAGTTCAATAGAGGGAAATGCCTCGGTTGTGGATAATGGGGTTCTGTGGAGTTCCACAGAGTCCCATTCCTGTGGGCTGTACTGTACTGGGAGACTCTGAAGTCCTGGCCAGATATGTCTCACCTTGATGCAAGATGAGACATCACCTTTTGCTTTGCAAGTTTCGGGAAAGTGAGGACCTCAGTCAGGAGTGGAGGTGGGGCACAACCTTAAGTCAGTGCAATTCCAGGGCTGCTCAGGTAATGAGGTAAGGACCCTGGATGTGGGCTTAAGGGGCCATTCTACCTTTAAGGAAGGGGACCCTACAAAGTTCTGTCCTGGCTTAGCGCTAAGGGACCCACAACAAGGCTGTTAGACTTACACATCCATAAAGGCGTTATTTTTTTTGGTAGTGGGAATTGAACTCATGGCCTTGTGCTTACCAGGTAAGTGCTGTGTCACTAAGCTATATTCTCAGCCCACATAAAGGCCTTCTAAAAGGGACAGCCTTGGTCTACGTGTGGAAGCACCAGTTCTACAGAAGGAGAAAACCGGGATGCTAACTGTAGGCCCAAGGAGAACCGGAGTATTAACATAGGGCATTATTTCCCAAAAAGAGTTCCAATCGGAATGCCTCCCTTTCTGCCAGCCCTGGAAACTCCAGACAGGGGTAGTCAGATGTTGTTCAGGTTGATACAATGTGTCAACTTGGGGAGTCTAGAGGTTTGGCTAAGTGACTCAGCTGGAAGCCAGCGTGCTTACTTTGTATACATCTTGAGCCTGTGGAAGAGGAGCTACACGCCCCTTACGTGGGGGTAACCTGTTTACAATATAAGGGAGGGAAAGAAGCTGCTGGCCGCCATTCCTCCCTTTTGCTCTGAGTGTTTGATGTTCTGCTGCCATTCCCCACTTTGCTCTTGTTACTTTGCTATCTTTTGCCTCAGAGCCAGCCAAGTATGGACTGAAACCTCCACAAACTGTAAGCTAAATAAACCTTTCCTTCCTTCATTTTGGGCGTTGGATACTTTGTCTCAGCAACGAGAGAAAAGTAACAAAGACAGATGTGGTAAGCACACACTTTCGCTCTAGTGACTCAGAGATGCAGCGGCTTGAGTGAGTGACAGGTGGCCGCACCATAGAGGAAGGCGAAGTTTTAGGGTTGGACTGACACGCGTGGGACTCCGTAGATCCCTCCTCGTGCTGCGTAGCCTTGCCCGGATGTACCACGCTTCCTTCCTTCCATTTTGAAGTCCTCGGACAGTGAGGACGTAGGTCTACGAGGTGGAACTTCAAGTCAGTGACCAAGAGGGTTTCAGGACCGGTCAAGTGTCAAGGTAATGGTGATGAATGTGGACCGAAGGGCTCACCCCACACTTGACTGAGGGGCTGGGTCAGGGCTCGCGCCGCCATATTACCGTCTCTCACACTCTCCCCTCCCCCCTCGCGCCTCAACTGCCACCAGCATGGCTGCCGCTGCCGCTGCCGCTTTGGTCACAGGAGACCCTGGGGAAGCTGTGGCTTTGACTTCTAGCTGCGGGAGCTCTGAAAGCAGAGAGTTTAGTATAAAGGGCTAGCCCTGGTTCTGCAGAGGGAAAGAGACCTAAGGCCCAGACAGGACTGAGAACCCTGAGCGCTAATGGGACCTTTCAGAAGAGGGCGCCAGGGCCGGGCGTGGTGGCACACCCTTGCCGTCCCAGCACGCAGGAGGCTGAGGCAGGAGGAGGATTGCTGCAAGTTCGAGGCCATCCTGGGCTACATAGCAAGACCCAATCTCAAAAAAAATAAAAAAATTAAAAAATAAAAGCGGGGGCGGGGGGGACTACAGCCAAGTTCCTGCTGTCCAGATCTCTGGCAGTTGTAGCCAGATGTGGTGTGCCGAGACTTTCCCCCTGGCAGCTCTGGAGAGGCGGAGGCTTTCATCGGGACCTGGCTGACTTGGGTTCTAGGAGTGAGGCGTTGGAAGCCTTACCCTGAGTCAGGGTTAGAATCCGTGGTAGAGAACAGTGAGGTCCCATAGAGTCCCACCCCTGCCGTGTGGCACTGTAGCCCTTATCAGTCTTGACAGGATGTGATTTAGCCCAAGCTTCCAACTCTTGAGTTCCTGTTTAAGCAAGGACCTTGGTACGAGGAACGTGATCTTGGATCAGCTGAGGATGGAGTCCCAGGACCTGTCAGGTACCACGGTGAAAATCCTAAATTAGAAAATGAGGACCTTTCACCTCCCAGTGGAGAGAGCTGAACTAGCACTACCCCTTGGGTTAGTCCTGGGAGGTCCAGCTGACAGGGTTAGGTGCCGCTTGACTTCAGCCTGAGGTTTTCAGTAGATAAGGAACTTGGTTTAAGGACTGGCTGCGCCAGTTCACCAGAGAAAGTAGTCTCAGTCTCTTTTGGGTTTTTTTGTTGTTGTTGTTTTTTAAAAATTTTTCTTCTCGTACCAGGAGTCAAACTCACGACCTTGCGCTTGCCAGGTGGGCACTGTCAGTCTCTTTTGGGAGTAAAGATAAAGATCTTATATGAGGAAGGAGGAAAACAACCAGTCCACAATAGAGGAAGCCTCATAGGCTCACTTTCGCTGGGAGCCCCAGGAAGCCATGGGCAGAGCCATTAGAATGAGGTGATCCTCATTTCCTGAAGGAGAGGTGGTATCTCAGAAAGATGGACTCATTACACTAATGGGTGAGGCCCCATTCACCAGAGGGAGGAGACTTAGTGTTTAAGAGGGGTCATGGTGAGAATGTTACATGAGATGAGGGAACTCCTCAAAGGTGGAAGTAGCCATGTAGAGCCCACACCTCCTGTGATATCTGAGAACCCCTCTGGGGGATTTTAGGGAGGCAGAGAATTTTAGGTTCCAGGGAACTGCTTCAGGTCAGCTGATGGATGTGAGAGGCTTGGAGAGCCATGGTGTGAGGCTGGCGGACTCAGGTGGGCTGAGGGACAAGTCCCATATCATCCCCGAGAGAGGTTAACAGGGCCATCAACCCCAGGATATCAAGAGGCTCCAGCAGTCCAGATCTTGCTAGCAATCCAAGGAGACCATGAGCACCGTGGTCAGTGGGTTGGAGGCAATCCGATCTGTGTTGCCTTCATCTTGGGGTGGATAGGGTTCTCAGGAAGTAGAGGACCTTGACCTGAAGGGAGAGAGGCCTTAGATGAGCAGAGGGTGTTTTACAGGTAGAGCCAGGACCCATATTAGCAGAAGCACTGCAGGATTCCCTTCCTGTTGTAGCCCTGGGAGGCCTCCCAAGCGTAAATGTCAGGCCGAGGCTCCCTCAGTTCCTCTTCAGGGAAAACAATGAAATGAAGGTCTTGGTCTGAAAAGAGTGGCTCCAGGTGGGGCTGGGTTACAGTTTCAGGCACACTGTCACCCCTCCACAGGCTCCACAGAAGGGTGGCCAATCAGGAGAACAGGAGCCTTGTGGCATCCTAGAACAGGGCCCTCGAGGATGCCAGGGCCCTTTCTTGTCTGTCTTGCACATGTTTGTCATGCATAATGAATGCATTCATCATGGGGAGCTGGGTCATGTACAGATCGAATCGGAGTCCTTGTTACTGCCCCTGCCCCTCTCCATCACTAGGTTCCCCTCCCGACTGCAAAAAGTAACCTCCCACAGGGCCCTTCTTAAAGCAAGGGACTCACGCCCTCTTGTCCTCCACCTCCAGGTGCCCACGGCCTTGCCCTTCTGACGCAGTCCCATCTGCTGTCCCTGAGCACAGTCACCATGCCTCGTGGTCAGAAGAGTAAGCTCCGAGCCCGCGAGAAACGCCGCCAGGCCCGAGGGGAAGACCAAGGTTCCCAAGGTGTTCAAGATCCTGCAGCAGCAGAAGGAAAGTCACCCTCACCTTCTGCTGGTCTTCAGAGTGCTAACCCCAGCACCTGCGCTGCATGCAGTCCCCAGGGGCTGCAGAGAACCCAAGCCGTCAGCTCTCCTGCTGCAGCTCTGAGCTTGGATAAAGGTGCCAAGCGCCCAGAGGAGCAAAGGCCAGGCTTGTCCAGACTGTCCATCCTGAAGAATGCCGGAAAAGATCCTGTGAGCAGGATGGTGAACACACTGGTGCACTTCCTGCTGTACAAGTACAAGACGAAAGAGCCCATTGTGAAGGCAGATATGCTGAAGGTCATCGATAGAAAGCTGAAGAAGCACTTTGCTGAAATCCTCCAGAGAGCCACTGAGCGCATGGAGCTGATCTTTGGCCTCGACCTGAAAGAAGTTGGCCTCACTGGTCAGTCCTATGTCCTCATCAGCAAGATGGATCTTTCCGGTGAAGGCAGTGTGAGTGAAGATTGGGGCTTTCCCAAGAATGGGCTCCTGATGCCGCTCCTGGGTGTGATCTTCATGAATGGCAACCAGGCCACCGAGCAAGATGTGTGGGAATTCCTGAGCTTGTTGGGGGTGTATGAGGGCAGGGAGCACTTCATCTTTGGGGAGCCCAGGAAATTCATCACCAAAGATCTGGTGCAGAAAGAGTACCTGGTGTACCGCCCCATCGCCGGTAGTAATCCTCGCTGCTATGAATTCCTGTGGGGGCCCAGAGCCTACGCCGAAACCAGCAAGATGCAAGTTCTACAGTTTTTGGCCAAGCTCAGTAAAAAGGCTCCCAGTCACTTCCCGTCCCAATACGCAGAAGCACTGAAAGAACAGGAAGACAGAGCCCAAGCCAGAATTGCAGCCAGAGCCAGCAGAGTTCTTGCTGCGGAGGCCAGAGCCAGCAAAGCCACCCAGCATTAGTGCACTGTGAGGCAGTTCTCACTTCTAAATAGTGGGGACCAAGATGGTAGACCACAGTGAATATTTCCTTTGTGTTTCTGTTATTCATAAGTACTTGTAGCCTTATGTCCTCTTTTTCTGTTCTTCCATTGTATCCTTTTTAGAGTTTATTTAGATTTAGGATCTAAGTTATAAAAGGCATGGATCGCCTATTTCTGTTTACTAAGTTTACTATATTGTGAAATAAATTGAAAGGCCTAACATCTTTTATTGTTAGCCAGTACAAGAAAACACAGCACTGGAAAAGGGATTTGCTTTTAAAATGTAAAAGAACCCCATAGTGAAATAGTTGGGATCATAACATGGTGAAGAAAAGTAAAAAGGGGTCAATTTCTGTTGTGGTTTTTTTTTTTTTTTTTTTTTTTTTTACTTCATTTGGTGTCTTAATACATTTAAAAGCTGTGTACTGGATTTATTTTGCTTACTGAAGAATGTGGAAGGAATTAAATTATAATAGGGAACTTGTGTTTCCTGCCTCTTTTGTTCTCCAAAGCATCTACTCTGTGAGAGGATTCATGCTGGTTGTAGGGAAGTGTAGACAAAGGAGAGGACCCAGAGATGGACAGAGAGGGGAGGGATGGACAGAGATGGACAGAAAAGGGATGGGGAATAAAGGAGTTCAGGTGTGTTATATACATTTACCAAGTCCCCTCCAGGAACGTACACATTGTATACTACAAACACGCAGTAGGCCCTGCCCTGGCAGTCCCTGCCCATGCCATTTTAGAGTCCCGGATCAGCTGTCATATGGAAAACATGGTGAGCAATGCTGTGGAATTGAAGGACAGTCAAAGGAAGGTGTGAAGAGGGAGGAGAGTCCAGGCAGGCGCAACCCAGTGTGGATGCCCTGGGACAAGGCAGGTTGGCAATGTGGGAAGCTACGTGCCCTCTGAGGAGGGAGTTCAAGTCAGCTGGCAGTGGGGGTATTTGAGGCTGGTCAGCAGGACCAGACTTTCCCAGGCTGGATCTCCAAGGGGAGAGAGCACAACTGCAGCAGAGGACGGCTCATACCCTTAGGGATGTGGCAAACCAGAGTGGAACCCAACCTGGAGGGCAGCTGAGAAGGAGCCCTGTGCTCTGTTCCTGTGTGGGTGGACGCACTACACTCAGCAGGTACTGTATGCACTTCGTGTGAGGCTTTGTGAGGGCGAGGGTGATGCTTGGGTACACTCAGCACTCATGGAGCTGACCCTCTAGCTGGGCTTGAGGGAATGGGACTGCTCCATTCAAAAGGAACCCAAATAGGTTATTTTTCTGAATAATGTGGCCAACTCCAAGCAAGATCTAGATTTTTGGTGGTGGTGAAATCCATGAAAATAGACATGGGATAAATGCAAGGGAGGCTAAGAGGGAGAAAAGTTTTGGGTCCTTTTGTGATATGTGTAACTGGGAAAGTCGCCTTCACTCATGCAGGCTCAGGCCAGGGCAGCAGTGGGGATGAAGGTCCCTGTCCCCCTCCTCTATTTCAGGAGTGCTTCCCAGAGCATCTGCAGTGTCAGATTACACAGCACTCTTCTGGAGCCTCAGGGAGCTCTGTGGCCACCACTCCTTCTGCAGCTGTTTCTCACACGGGACCCTGCAAGGGTGCCAACGGCCAAAGGGAGGAAAGTATCAGCATCCCTCAACCTGCCCAGCAGCCAGTAATAATATGTCAATCAGTATTCACCAGAGTGAGGAAGTCTTTCTAGAGCAGCTATAAGGAACCAGGTCAAGCAGACTTGCTATGAGATATCTTCTCATTTCTAATAAAGGTCAAACTCATAAAACCACTTTTTTCTTTCTGCAGTACTGGGAATTGTACCCACAGGGGTTCTGACATCAAGCTGCATCCCCAGACCTTTTATTTTTCCCCAGATCTTTTTCGTATGTTTTATTTTGAGACAGGTTCGCACTGAATTGCCCCGCTGGCCTTCAACTTGTGAGTCTCCTGCCTCAGCCTCCCGAGTAGCTGAGAGCACAGGCATGTGCCACCATGCTCAGCTATTAAATGACTTTTTAATTGAGAAGGCACAAAAAAGGCAGAGGTAAGTGGACTTACCCACAAATACTCAAAATGGGCAAAATAAAAATTGAGAGCCGCCAGCTGTGGCGGTATACTCCTGTAATCCTAATCCCAGCTGATAGAAGGCTGAAGCAGGAGGATCACCGTGAGTTTGAGGCCAGTCTAGGCTACATAGTGCGTTCTGAACCAGCCTAAACTATATAGCAAGTGCCTGTCTCAAAATAAAACCAAAAACTAAAGCAAAACAACAATCACAGAAAAAAAAAACACTCTGAGAACTAAGATTGGGAATCGGACAAACAGTTTGCTTCAGAGACCCTGGAATATGTAGTGACATCTTGGGATTTTGTTTTGACCTCACTTTTTCCTAATGAGGCAGAGGGCCTGTACAGAGACACCTATTTGAATTTTGTGCTCATTTTTCTGTTAGGTTGGATTTTTTCCTTATTGAGTTTTATGTAAGTTCTTTGTATATTCTGGATATAATCTTCATAGAGTTAGATAATATGTTTTACAAATGTCACCTAACACTACACGGCTTATCTTTTCATACTTTCTATGATTTTAAAGAGGTCTTTAAGGATTCTTCTCAAATTTATTAAAGTTTGGTGATTTTTATTTCTTGTTTTTAAAATGTGTCTCTACTTTGAAATAATACAGTTTTCTTCTGTATACTTTTCCCTTCACATCCTCTCTGTAGCTCAAATCACAAGAATCTTCAGGTAAGCTTACCTATACTCAGCACTGCTGAAAATCTGTCCTCCTACAGGGACCTGCAGGCATGCTAGTTTTGTGCTAAGAATTCACATACACACAAGTGTCGCAGAGGTTTGTGCTCTATCTGTGTCTCCCTGAGCCAGCACCATACTGTCTGTGTCACCGTTGCTTTTCTGTACGCTCTGCTGTTGTCCGGAGTGCAAGGCCTTTCCTCTCTCTGCTTGCGTGAGTTTCCTTCCTCTTCCTGGCCCTTGACACTCTGAGAACCAGTTGTCAGTTTCCAAAGATGTTGGGATTTTGATTGCTACAAATTAGACTACAGATAAATTTGAAAAGACTTAAACCTTCACAATATTGAGTAGTCCAATCCGTGAATTTGCCGAACCGCTCTAATGATTTAAATCTTCTTTAATAATTTCCACTCAAGAGCTGAAGGTATAGCTCAGTGGCTCAAGCCCCTGATTAGCAAGCACAAGGTCATGAGCTCGATTCCCAGTACCCAAAAAAAGAATAATTTTCAGTCAAGTTTTATAATTCATTCCACATTGCTACATTTAATTTATGGTGCATAGAGTTTTGATGCTATTATATATGGGAATCCTGCCCTTCTTAATTTATTAATTGAGAT